ATATTAATAATCACGTAAAAGATTTATAATACTATTGGATCATTCATTGAGTTGGATATAGCACGTATATATGTACGATGTTCTATCCGAATGTATTTGATGATGATTATTCCGAGAAATTATTGGATTTCACGAACGATTTGTTTTTCAATCAATCGGATTATCGTTTTAAACGAGAAATAAGCAAAATATAGAAAGAGAGAGATTTCTTATTCTTCGTATCTTTTCCCAACTTTCAGCGCTTCGAAGCAAGAAGATCAAGTCTATAGGGAAATCATAGTTGAATTTATTAAGCCGACGCGAGTAATTTCCCGCGAATAAATATTTAAATAACACGGACGATTTATTCAATCTAGTCAATATCAAGCGGGACTCAAACATGGGACGGTTCTGTCGATAAATTTAATGTTACACCATTAATTTCGCGTAACTCAATGCCGTTACTGACAACGGGCGTGCAATCTCACGCTTCGTATATTTAAAGCGCACAATTTTTCCTGTCCATGTGTACATGCATGCATGAAGAAAAATTATATCCACACTAAATTTGCTTAAAATTAACATAATTAAATTGCAGTTAACATTGTATATATATGTATAGCGGCGAAATTCCCAGCAACAAAATGTGATTAAAACTTGTTTATCTAAATTTATATCCTCGGAGGAAGACCAGCCCTTGTTAAGCTACGGGCTGGTTATTCGAATTCTCTCGGAGAAGATTAACCCTCGTAGAAGAGTTAAAACAAGCATCATGCTTTTCCCGCCTCTAATCTGGCGGTTTAACGTCCACTGATCCACCTCACGGTAAGTTTACTTGGCAGTCAAAGATTTACAGCGCGATTTCCGGAATATATAAATACGCATACATGTACACATGTACACATATTTGTATGCATATGTATACATACATTCATACACACATATATATGTGTATGAATGTGTAAAAAATAGCAGTGTAACAACATGCATTCATTTCGCAGCAAATTAAAATGCGAAAAATTTACTTATACAATTCGCTATACACAGCTATTCATGTGTGTTATAGCTATTACGCCATGTGAAAAACGGAAAAACCATTTGCGCCGGACCTGGGAAAAAGATAAAACTGTTGAATTTTCCGATAGCTTGGTAAATAACCAAGCGACGACAAAAAAGAACAAATTAACGCGACCACATTCGTGCGATATCTCAAATTTACTCCCGGCATGTACTCGTTAAAATCACCTTAATCTTTGACCTAATGTTTCCTAATTTTTTTCTCGCGACAATGCACGCGTCCCGCACTCGAAAATATTACTTTTCTGGTAAACATCTAATTCTTATTAATAATTGTATTACTATTACATCAATTAATTAAGAATGGTGGTTGCAGATAACTAAATAAACATCGATTTATTAAATTAAGAAGAAATATTTAAATTAAAACTACTAAAGCTAAAATTGAAGCTTAAATAAATATATCTAGAATTAATTAGTAATAATTAATAAATAGTTTATGATAAATTACAAATTTAGAAAATTATTAATTTATGAGTTCTATTATTATTAAATTAAGTAATAATGAAATCTATTTAAATATGTATTATATACGCGCGCCTTCAAAATTAACGAGTTTCAATATGCATACGCCGCTAAAAGAATACAAGATTAATCGCGCTATTAAATGGCTACAAATGTTAAATAAATGTGAGGTAAATTAAACCCTCCCTTCCGTATTTCTTTCTATGTCCCTCTTCGGAAGAGCCACACAACGTGACTAACAGCACAATAAGCCATCGATCTCCTCTTTTCCCCATCGGGCTCTTTTTTTTTCAGGGTAAACTCGTTCCGTTGGAACAATCGGATCGCCTCGAAACGATCGCCCATTCAAACAGCTCTCGACAACCTAGTCGGGTGACGAAAAAAAAGAAGACTGAACCGATGACGGAGAGGCGGCGCGGAAAAAATCGAAGCGCGAAAGCACGATCGCTCCGACACGTCGACGGAGTTGGAATCCGGCCTTTTTCGGATGCCGCCGGCGTGCGTTGTGCGAAAATCTCCGAACAAAAATACACTCCTCGTTGCTCCCGGAAAATTAAATCTTTTTACGGAAACTGCCGAACAAATCGACGCAATCGTTCGGCATGTCGACGGGACTAGAATCCGCTCTCTCTGGGGTGCCAGCTTGATGCCGCGGAAATCTCTGAGCCAATACACAGAGAATTTGCAATTGGCATATAAAATATATTAGCAGTATATTCTTTATTTACTGTATTCTTTTATCTTTAATATTCTTTAATTTCTAAATATTCACAACTTTTAAATTATAAACAATCGCAAATAGACTTCTCTTCGCGATTTTAGTAAAAATGTATAATATATACTACAAACGGACATACAACATATACAGATATATTTATATATAAACTTTATTCATTTATCTCGATTTAAAAAAAAATTTTTTTATTTAAAAAAATTAATTTTATCAGTTGATTACTAAAATATATAATATAAGACATTAAAAAGATCAAATAATAAACAATCTTCAAGTTTTGCATAAAAATTTTTATCTCATATTTAGATGAGACATTTCCTTTTTATATTTCCTTTGTTCTTTATATTAATTCCGATTTTTTTGTTTGCAATTAACAAATACATGTATACAAATTTCATAAAAATCTTCAATATTGTTTTAATTATTAATTTACTGCATTCAAAATGTAATCAGTCTCTAATTAATGATTGATAACCAACCATGAACAATGATTAATTTAGCTATTCTTATTTCAATTATCAATTATGAATATTAATTAATCTAGAATATTAATAATCATAATCATTATTCATTAATTTAATTATGCAATACCATTAATTATATTTTAATTATATTTTACTGAATTTTGTACAAATTTACTCTTTTTGGATATTACTGTCGGTGTAATTTTGCTGACGCAATACCGCGGAAACTTTTCCGGCTCGAGAGCATAGCCGAATTCCGGCCGATGTAACCTTCATCGATACAAGGCACGAGTTTCCCTCGTCGTCGGTCCATCTCGTCGACGTGGAAGCTGGGTTGTCGCGTCCGCACTCTCATCGACACAATCGTATTTTTCATGCCTCTCTTCCCAGGTCATCTTCCTTTTTTTTTTATTTTTCTATCGAATCTCGCTTTCGAAACCCGTTATCGTCGTGGACGAGTATGCTTCGTATATGCGAACAGGAATGACGCTTCGACTTATGGCATCGCATACCGGACGCCCATTAAATCCGTCGATTTTAGCGGGAAATTTTTTCTCGTGCTCCCAGGACGTGAAGTCGCGGTGAAACATGTAAAAAAAAGAAAAAAAAAAGAGGTCAACGACAAAGAGACAGCAACAAAACGAGACGTGCGCGCACGCGCGCCGAAAAATACGCTCGTTGACTCGTTATTCGTCCCAGAAAGAGAGAGAGGTCGGAGATTTTATCGGGATTGCTTTTATAACGATGCAACTTTGCGGATCGGATGTATCCGGCGGAGAAAATAGCGATGGAATTTGCGATGCAAATGTCACATTAAGAGGCGTAGAGTCGATGTAAAAAGTCGGGACCTGTGTCTGAACATACGACGAGATAAATGCATATTTTTACCTGGTGGCGAATATATTTTATCTCACATTGCGATGATTAATTCTGTTGGAATATGGAAATATTCACTCGGCTTCTCTTTCTGCTTGTTTTCATTATGCGGTATCATCTACCAAGATCTACATAAAGTATTTCTTTAAGAATAAGAAGATTAAGAGACGTGAAAATTACGCAATTAAATAAAATATGAAAATTAAAAATCTCAAAGAGAGAAATTACATGATCCGATTAGCTTTAAAAAAGTCGAACAGCAGTGATATTAATGTATAACATCGTTAGTTGTTTATTGAGCTAATTACTATCTTTGGAACTTCAAATATCTCAGCTAATTCGTAAAGAACCAAAATAGCAGAGTTTATCGACAGCATTTAATGAACAAGATTTACTATTTTTATTCGAATTTTATAATGTCTTAATCCAGCTAAAAATATATCGCATTAACTGCGATTAACTGCGAACATAAGCAATCAGTGCTTATGTTATTGTACGATTGTTAATGTTATACGTATTGTAATATTTAATGGATCTGTATAAATGGATCTGTCAAATCGCTATTCCGAAGCGTATTGAGAAATAAATCCATAACAATTTTTCCTTATGTGACACGACGTATGAGATTCGTTTCCGCCAAAGAGATGAAACAAAAATAACAACGTGAATGATCGTGCATTAATAAGTGAAATCGACCTGGCAACTTATTACCTAATGATGCGATATCCGCTTCGAGTTTTGTAAGAAATTGATGATCTGCTCCGTTTTATCTCGCGCGCATTGACACAACAATGAGTAAAAAATCGTACGATATGCTATAATAAAATCATACACTCATATAATTATATGAGTTTGTCAACAATAATCATATTAATAAAATATTTTAGGTCATAATGATATTTTATTAGATTTCTCGTTTTTTTTTGTTATCAAAAATAATCTCTTATCAATGAATTATAATTTATAATAAAAGATTGAAATTAAAAAAATTATATAATAATAAAAATTATATTCCGTTATTCTTGCAAATCCAAAATTCTATTTAACAGTAGCATTATTTAAGCTATTTTATTTAATCTTCTAATTATTTTCGAGAATTTTATTTATTAATTTTATAACATGGAATATAATAAATTCTTGTAAATCCTTAATTCTTTTATCCAAGATAAACTTGAGAGTGCTTAATAACTTTCTCCCTCTCACTATTTTTTTATTTTCTACGAAAGAAACAGTGTGTCGACGAAAGTTGTATAAAATAACGACATCCGCTTATGCATATCTATTAAAGGTGAAAAAAACTTTTCGCTACGTCACGCACTTTTCCCCTTCCTTCAATGTTGCCGGCAGCCGGAGACAACAAGTACCTCTCCAGAGTGCCGGTATATATCACGTATTACGCGCCACGCACACTTTAGTATTTAGGAAGGGGAGGAAAGGCCACAGACACGTACCTCTCTAGGCCCAGTGCATCGCGTGATTTCATGGTGAGAGGATCAACGTAGCTATCAACCAAAAGGAACATTTGAGACTTTTTTGACAGATCATTTCTCATTGTCTCGATCAATACCGCTGATCTTACAAAATATTCCTGATCAAGCGGCGCGATTTGGAACACCGATCAACCTTGGATTTTGGCATGGCTCTGACAATCAAGGTGAGTGACGAACGTGCGCAACAGGTTGATGCACACTCTCGCGCCCGTGATACGCAATCTCTCCCTCCTATTATATAGGTGTATACGCGACCGGTGATTTAAAGTTTCGGGGGAGAGCACTCTCGAGGGAGAACCGACTCGTTCGCGAAGTTCACGCTTTTAGGAGAGCGGTGGTTTTGTTTCGGTATGCGGGGAAAATTCTCGCCCTCCGATAACCTGCCCGCACGAGATATCGCCTCAAGAAGCTTATTCATCGAGCGTTCACGTTCAGGATACAGCATGAGATACTTAGGATCCTCCTCGCGGATTCGCTCGGTGTCGTACATTTACAGCAGAGTATTTGAGGATAGGGGAGACCTTACCGCGCCGCTTCCGGGCGATTTATTTTTATTGTAATGCGTTTCAGCTCGTACGAACGGAGATGGCGAATAAATTCGTGTTAAAAAATTGCCCCACTTTGCATAATTGCATATTTGCTTGGGATGTGTGTCTCAGAAGTTGCACGGCTTTTACAAAAAGCATATTTGTATTTGGAAAATAAAAGGGGAATAAACTCCAAATTGTCGATTTTCGCATATTATCATTAAATCAATAAAGCAAGCAAATAAAGTACGGATTAAATAAAGCCTACGATTAAAGCTCGCAAATATTATTTGATAATACATATTAACAATAATAAAGTAAATATTAATTAATAGTAATTAATTTGTTTAAAAGTAAATTTGTCATATAATAAAAATACATTTTAATAAAATAATTTATTTAATTTATTTTTAATATGCGCATTTTTTTCATGACTCTTGTCTTTTCCAGAGAAAAGTAAATTTTATATTTTTTTGCTTCCTGGATACAGACATTCTATTTAAATGAAGCAAATATTGGAAACCAATAAAGACGTATTTTACAGACCATATTACCGAATTTGGAATGAATGTTTGTTGAAATGAATGTTTGAATGTACGTAAAGGCTCGATTAATGCGCCATTAGATTAAACCAATAATGTTTCATTGTTGCGTTACCTTTATATGGCTAAACGATCGCATGATGCAAAATAATTACGTCTTTCACGTTTACAAAAGCATTGCAAAAACGCTATATTCTGAAATTGTAGTGGTTTATAATAACTATACGCATATGTACGTACAGTATGGAAAAAAATAAAGACGTGAGTCAAAGAGAAATTTCAATTTTTATAAAAAGCCTTCTATGTCATGTGTCTTAATTGATTTCTATAAATATAATAGAATATTGGTTATCAATAAAATCAAATCTCCATGAGTATTTTTAGATCTGAAATATTGTGCTTATAAAATTAAGTTAAATTATTTGTTTTAATATTGCAAAATGTAGAAAATGTGGAAAAAATTAATGTAATAAAAATAAATTTACTTATATAAATTAAATTATAAAATAATTGTTTATAATGTAAAAGGTATTCTTTATATACATACAAATTACAATTTTTAACATTATTTTATCATTATTTAAAAATAAAAAGAGAAACTGTGCGATTTTTATACTTATAAGCACATGTCTTTCGAATCATGTAAAAACTTTAAATAATTGGTATGTACATGCTCTCACAAGAAATAACCTAGAGTCACGAATAAAATCTTATAAAAGAAAAGAGAATTTTTCTGTTATAAAATCGAATTATCGAATTTCCGCACGTAGTGTAACGGTTATATGTGCGGAGCGATTGAAACAGCGGCTTATCGACAATGCAATAACATTATAATTCATACGTATCGCAATCGTATACTTATGCGAAAGGTGCGGAAACATCGCCCGACCAGAATAATAATCGCAAAGGTTGTCGAACGATTTCGTAAACTCTACTGAAACCACAGTGTGGTCTAAAAGCGCGTTCACAGTCTGTATAGAATAAAGGAATAAATAAAACTCTCTCTTTGATACGAGAGAAAATAATTTTTAAATCTATTTACAACAAAAATACGAGAAACTGGCAAAAACGAGCTTTTCACGTTTTTAATATCCGGATCGCTTTTCGCATAAAATTACAAGATTTTTAATATGTTGAATATTAGCAAATATATAGGAGAATAAAAATATATAAGAGAATAAATAGCTTCTAGAGTATCAACATATATTTTGTACAATTTATATTAATATGTGCAAAGAGATTTCTTGTTAAAAAATCTGTTATTTATAACATCACAAATGAAAAATTGAGAAAGATGTCATGCATACTTGTTAATTATTAATAAGTCTTGCAGTTTTATATAAAATGGAGCTTTGATATAAATACATTCGACTACATTTCGACTATACAATATGTACGGGTTACAATACAATATGTTCGAGTATTATTATTAATCTACGATTTACCATTAATTTCGCTCCAAACAGTTCGCCCATTCAACGCGCAAATATTGTACGAAAGAGCTATGTTATTTATTGACGATATTATTTATTGATCGCGCTCGATAGCAAATGCGAAGACGCGACTACCGATCGCGGCGACAATCTCGCTAGTATATATCTCGATTACCGCTAAGCAACTGTAAATTAGTTTGATAACCGTAAATTAATGTGGCCGCAAATAATGCCGCATCGAGGCGGCGGCGTGTCGCTAAATTATTATTTATCGAACGCGACGCCGATATCGCTCGAACGTATAACTTATAGGAAGGTGTGCATTTTCGCTGATAGGTATATCTCTCGGTTACCATTCATCGACAAGAAGGGGAAACCCCTCTCTCACCATATAAATGCAAATTAATTTTATAACTGGGCAAATGTGCCGTGCGACGCAAACGTGACGACACGACGCGAGAATAAATCATCGGGTCGAAGCGGAGCAAAAGTGGCGCTCCGATATAATTGCGCGATACATGTAATTATCGTTATGTGCACATATATATGGGCGTGAGTTTCTCACATAAGCGTAATTAATACTGTACTAATACCGACAGTTCTCGCGACACGTCGTATGCTTACGGCGCATTATCGGTCGCATTGAATGCGAGCGTAATTAACGGCCCGTATGCGAATCGCCGTATGTACAATCGAGAGCGAGAGAGCATGCAGGATCCGAAACATTCCGGTGCATTATAATGCGCAAACGGTTTATCGCGAGGTGCGACGTGCCGACGATAAAATCTATACCGCCACCAATTTGCCATTCCGAGCGAGCAATAATTCTTATAATTCACACCGGTTTGCGGAAGTAAGCGGTTTTGCGCGAGCGCGCCCGCATTGAATCGACAAATCACTCCTGGACCCGCCATATATATACATATATATATATATATATATATATATATATATTATATATATATATATATATATGTCTCTACACGGGCGCGTCGTGATTTACGGAGCCGTCGAGATTATTAGGATTCTGTTACAAAAGTCAAAATTCGAGATGCCGGATCTCCGCCGGGAAATCAGACAGACGACGACGAGGCAGGCGCGTTAAGTACGATCTGAAATGCGAAACGTAATTACGTCGTGATTAAGCTGCATTTGGGTCATGAATTCTTGGTGTTGGTGGATGCAGTGCCTTTAACACGTTATTAAAATGTAATTTTACGATCAAACTTTATAATTCAAATTTTCTTATTTTCACTAGTTTTTATCTCGAAAATTTAAAGAATTTATGATTTTTATTTAAAATTCAAATGTCTGATTATGATACCATAGATTTTTGCAATCTGCTATGAGAAATTTGTTATTCAATCGTTTCCCGTACATTATTCCATGATGAATATTAGTGTTATAAAAAAAGACATCACGCATGAAAAAAATGCCATAAACTCGGCCACGTATGATCGTATGCAAAGAGCCGCGAAGGCAAGAAAGAAGATCGACGATCGTAAAGCCCGAGGTTATTCGAAATCCAGGCCAGGAGAAAGCAGTGAAAGGACGATGAGATTAAAATTCAAATTATAACGCGCGTGTAAAAAAGATAAAAATGTAGTCGAATCGACGACAAATCATACGTTCCCGATTGCAGTTCGAGCTGTCAAACGAGTTTACTCGCGAGGTGATATGCAAAAGAGGGACGAGGTCCACGAGCAGTACGAATACGTTGGCACAAAGGATGTCAAAGGAATCCAATAAACAGCGCGCGAAGGAATTCGATTGGCTACAAACTCAGGTATATTAGACGAGTTCGTAATAATCTGGAAATACGTTTCCATGTTGAAGCTATCACATCGGACAATCAACACGTCTTTATAAACTCGTTTCGATTAATGTCTATATAAAGCAACGTGACAAATATACACACTTACAAATATCTTTTTTTGATTGGCGCAAATCCAAAGAGTCAATTGACCTAAATCCAGTATATATGTATGTATGTATGTATGTATGTGTGTGCATATATGTGTTTCGAAGCATAAAAACTGTCACCAACGATGAGACTATTATCGAGCAGTAGTAGCAGTAGTATGTTGGCACTTTTGAACAAATATACGTTGTTCAAAACAGGATATATCACTTTTTCATATGTCCATATCACGTAGTACATATTTGATATTTTGAAAATTTAATAAATGGTATCCAATATCTACTTTAGATTACACATTCAGGATTTAAAAATATTATCACCTTACAAATAATTTATTTAAAATATTTGATTTTTTGTTTTACTTTTATGTGCATAAGTTAGATCTGTTAAATATTTCTTGCTTCGCATAATAATATAGAACTCACAAGTGTAATTTACTTCGCATGATAATAGAGAAATACGTATAAAATTAGTAGAATATTCGCTAGCGCACTTACACTGATTCTTTTAAGGATAAAATTCGCTTAATGAGGCAGAGTGTGTCGCGGTAGACGGAGGTCGAGGAGCACACGAGGAGAAAATTCACTTTCCGTATTAGAATGGTTATGGAAAAAAAGAGGAAAGACGCAAGGTAAGGTATATGTAATTTAAAGGCGACGACCCCTTAGTTAAGATCCGACGATGACGCGCGATGTAGTGTAACGAGACTCGGCGGGGTGCGTCGCGCGCGAGGTGAAACGCCGCGAGGAGGAAGAGAGATGAGGCGAACAAACAGAGATTGGAGCTACTCGCATACCGTCGTCGTATAGCAGCGGCACGACGCGGTGGTTGTGCTGCTTGTTTAGCTATGTTAGCTTTGGCGTGCTCCGCCTGCCTCGCCTGCAGGCTAGCCCTTCCTTATCCGCTTTCGTTACCGCATGACAGACGTGCTTCCGCCCTTATTGTCGGACGGCCGTGCAGCTAATTTCGCCTCATGCGAAATGTCTATCCGAGTCGCGTTCTCTGTCTCGTCCTCTGGAACCCATTTACCATAATATTTGCAGATGATATAATCATATTAAGCGCCGTCGGGGATGGATGTAGAGCGATGCAGCGCGGCGGGCTTAATAAGTTTAGCGTCGCGTCGAAACTCGCGTAAAAATATTCTCCTATTTTTTCATACGCGAGAAATCTACAATGTCCGCTATTTAGGGAAATGTCCGCTATTTAGGAAATGATCCAATGGGACAATCAAAAGTCAATAATTGCATTAGCGCTGTTCGTTTAACTATGCAATGCGTTTTACCACAATGCGTTCGGTAATAATGATGTAACTAATAAGGACCATTGTATACAATGTGTGTAATTTCATACATTGTATATATTCAATGGCCCCTACTAATTGCATTAATTATCAACTACATCAATATATAATTATGTTACAGTTTCTTATCCTCGCCTGCGTCCTGTTCACCGCAACGATGGCAGACGAATCGGACAATAGCGAGGGACAGCAATCCGGCAGATCGCGAGTTTCTGATGAACAACTGAACATAGCATTGAGCGACAAGCGTTACTTGACCAGACAGCTTAAGTGCGCCCTGGGAGAAGCGCCATGCGATCCCGTTGGGCGACGCTTGAAAAGTACGTCCCTACTCTCCTCTTGGAGATGGAATAAATCCATCACAGAAAGTTCATATTCCGCGATTATCTTGAACAAGACTTAAAATAAGATTTTAATCCTCTTTGTCTGGCATCGATGAACTTTTGGCGAAAAAAAGATCAATTCTTATAAACTTTTTGCAAAGAAAAAAAATAATAAGAGATGAAAAAAGCTACTTTTTTAATATTTTCAGATTCAATTTGAATTATTTATTATATCGAGATAATTGCGAGCAAGGATTTTCCAACTGGTATAATTTCGGTGAGTTCAATTTCCAGAGAGATATGCGAGAGTGAACAAGTACGTCGAGCTAATTGTCGTGTTTCCATTGTCGTAGAGTAAACATAGGGGTTGCATACTTTTGCATGTCTATAGTAACGGAATCTGAATTCAGAATCTGAAAATTTAGAAATTATACCAGGGCTTTAATAAACATTTTTAATAAACATTTTATTAAAGATATTAAACGTATGTATCACAATATGCTATTTATGTTATGCGTTTATCTTCTTTCAAAAAAAAATAGATTTTATATTTTCCTCTCTTCCTCATTTGTTATACCATATGCAGTTTTTATCCCACAGAAGATCAAAATTAACATTGAGAAACTCGAAACAAACTATGTATATATATCTACTTGCGAAATATAAAACGTTAATTAAATATTATATAATATTATATATATATATATATATGCACATATTGTAATATTATTCTGCAATAATATTACAGAAGTTCCAAGAGAAATTAATCACGCACGTATAAACTTAAATAGCGTAAAACCTATCTAAAAATTCTGTCAGAGATTTGTATATCGTTATTTTATCCAGGCTTGGTGCCATTGGTTTTGAGAGGCTCCTGCCCGCAATGCAGTCCGGAAGAAACACGTCAGATCAAGAAGGTCCTTTCTCACATTCAGCGATCCTTTCCGAAGGAGTGGAGCAGGGTAGTGCAACAATACGCTGGAGTTTCATAAACGAGAGATGATATAAGCCGACTACGAGGCTGAATGTACAAAAATATAGTAACGGAATATACAAAAGAATATATAATGGCTATCTACATCTATGAGAGAGGCGAGAAACAACATCGTACATTCATTCATTCGATGATATTATCGTTAAGCATCGAAAAAATATATTTTAGCCAAAAGAGATATATCACCACGATGTACATATCAGATAAAAATCTATTAACACATATAAAATGTACATGAAATGTGTATTGATCTGTTATTTGAAATGTTAAGCATATAAATAAATTATGTCTGTTTGATATATTTTATTAATAAAGCTTATTCTTGTATTACCAAGAGATAAAAATTTCCTTTTTTATCCTTTTTCATTATAATTAATTGATTAATTGTATTAATGAGATTCGTGATTAGAAAAGCGTTATAATTTTATTTTATAATTTTAATTTTTCATTATATCAGCATATTTCTCAATATTATAACATAAATTATAATGCACTGTTAACAAGCATAATATATTACTGTATGAATTTTTTCGCAGAAATTATCTCGTGAAAAATTTCCCAAGATAATACGAACGAATCACGGAATGCAAAACATAATTTTATATAAATAAATCGTAAGTGGGATAGAAAAAATAACTAGTTTAACTTAATTTAAGTAAAAACAAAAAAATGATATGCTATTACATTGCTATTTTATATGTTTTTGTCTATTTTTAATTCCAATAACCATTACATTATGTATCAGGATATATTTTTACAACCATACATATAATATTACATACGCTGTTTTTAATTTGATATAATATCTATTTCGTTTGTGTACAGAAATTAATAATTTTATTTTATAAAAAACTAGAATATATTGCAAAAAGAGAAGAAAATTTATTTATCAAAAAATTTCTTCATTTTCATAAAAATATCATAGTTGAATTTTAAAATTTTAATATTAAAACATTAAATTTTTTTCGTAATACGTTTGCATTTCTCATTTATTGACGTTTCCTTAATTATGTGCTTTCTCATAACAGCAATTTAAGCTTTATCTTCCATCTTGAATCGTATTAATCGCAACGATGACGCATGTTTACAAGCGTTCGTTACATTAAAGCGTGTTTCGCATTCGTAATGTATAATGCCGATTAGGGATATTGGCATTAAATCTGTACGTGATCTACGAGCCGCATAACGTACGTTATTATTAGGGCTTTATAAGTATCCCATCGTTTCGCAAGGACTATTGGATGTTCGATCAGCTTTATCGAGTATTAATGACGATCAACAAGTTGCTAATTTATTTGGCACATAATTAACACTATATCTCCGCACCCCTCTCTGCTATTCAACCGCCGTGATTGCACCCTGATTCGGATTTCACTGCCCTTGCTGTGAATATTAATTCTACTGTGCTTCGATGTCAAAGCCCTCGTATGCATGCTAATTTAAGTTTGTCCTCTATATCTACGCTGACTGTGCGAGGACAGATTAGTAATTAAACTTTGTAAGCACTGATAAAAATGCACGAGTAGTGCAGTAATAATATCGTCATCTTAATGTATGAAAAGACGTAATATTAGTTACTATCTAAAGAACTATTATACTTGAAGAAACTTTTCAGCTATCAATTGTAGTTCAAACTGAAATACGTCTAATTCAATGCTTATAATAATTTCTGAATAGAATAAGATTGAATCACGACGATTTGTGAGCAAACGATTGCTTTAAAGTGAGAAGTTAAATCGAGAAGCGATTTGTTTCATTATAATTTTCCATTAGCAAATACTGAGTCACTGACCCTTAAAATATTTTTATAAAACTCTTGCGATAGACTAAACAAATATTTTACATGTATATTTTACATGTATTGTACAAATATCAATATATATCATTTTTATCTTAAAAATATTTTTCTTTTTCTTTTAATTTATATACAAGTAATATTTCTTTAAGACAGGAAATTATTTACAAATTCAGTTTTATATATATATATATATATATATATATATATATATATATATACATATATGTATGTATATGTAATTAAAATCCATTATAAAAATTTAATTTGTAATATGTAAAAATATTTTGCTATGAGCCAAAATAGACCCAACACCAATGTAAGACTATTATACTGTTTCTAATCCGAGAGTTAAAAAGTGAAATCGAAATAAATTAAATGAATAATATGTGCAGAAAACACATTTCAAATCGAATATTGCAATTAGAAAGCACTAATGTAAGTTATATTTTTAAACGCAAACACATTCGGTCGCACAATAAATATAGATAGACTAATATCAGATTTCCAGAAATATAATTTTATTATACGGAAATAATCGATATTTTTAGCAATGTGACGATTTCTCATCGTAAAATGCATCCTTATAATTAAAATATGCTCTCTGGCTGCTGCAGAAATCGCAAAAGACATGAATATATAAAGGATTACGTGTTGTCCTAATGATTATAACAATGGCAGACAAATCTATCGCGTCACCGTGCAAGTTGCGAATCTTTCAATGATACTCGCACATTCTCGTTTGACTATTTATCGACCACGTGTACTCAACCGTTCAAACTAGTTTTCGATTATGCTTTCCCGAGAAAAGCGGAGATCTCGACAATTCGGGAAATCCGATTTGCCACTCCGTCTAGCCTCACAAAATTCAAAATTGAAGTCTATGTAGGAATAGGTGAAGAAAGACGCTGACAATTTCCACATAAATGCTCAGTGGTACAGTGTGTTTCTAAAATGCTTAAACAAATTTTACAGATTTAACGTGTAATCAATTATGATTTATTTTTTTTTTGGTAAAGATATCATGTTCATAAAGAAAGTTCAAATCATTGAAGATAGAAAACTTATCTCAAATTAAACTTTAAAGATAAAAATACTACTAACAAAGTTATTGCGTTCCAAATTTCGAGTAAACTTCATTTTAATAGAATTCCTCTAAAATGTTGTCAACATATTTAATATTTAAAGTTAAAAAAGAAGGCAGCCTCTCAATAAAATTTCCGCTAAGAGAAGATTGATTCCAACTTGATCGAGAGACACACCTGCAAAGCTTGCCAAAGTATTTCAGTAACATCCTGTACAAAGTATGTCGCGAGAAGATTCAACTCACGTAATGCTTGCATTTTACATCAGTGCGACGCGATGCAATTTAAACAGTTCGTCTCACTAGATGCAATATGAACTGGGCATAGCGATTAAATCGATCGCGATCGAGCGCGCATTTTCACGTCATACGGTCATAGCCACGGATCAAACTTCTGCCTAACAGATATTTAATATCATCGCTGGATAATTAAACTCTCGTCAGTTGTGATTTCGTATACGATGAGGAGTGTCATCTCGCCGACGACTAGCCGAAGTCGAAACTACTGCTACTGCCGCTTCCGTCTTTCGGCAAACATTTGTTCTTCTTGATTGATACGCGATAATACACTTTCATTCGAAAGGGACAAATATTGAATCCCGTCGAAGAAACGAGGAGACAGTTTGCACACTTCGTGTATATATTGCGCAAATGATATTGCACATATGTGTATCTTATGTACTTGCACTCTCGTCTATATTTTTATTGCTCACTCGCGATCGGGCTCTATTTACACCTCGACGAACTTAAAATTTTCCAATTCCACCAGGAATCGAAGTCGGGATAAAAATCTATCCGAACGCAGCGAGCTGTTACAAAACACATCCGGCGCATACTTTAATTACTTTTAATTACACTAAACGACCTGCAACAATACTTGCGTTCGTAATTAAAATTAAGCCGGGCAAATGTGTAGGGTATTGAAAATCGTTAGATGCAGTTTCGACGGAATAACAATCCGAATACTCGAACGATTTAAGGATTCCAATTTAAAAAAAAATAAATGACTAATGCAACATTACCGGCTAGAAAAGATTTTCAGTCGTATTTCTTTTTATTATTATTAATATTTTGCCTTATTTTCTCTTATACGCAGTATACTAAGTATAATATGTAACGATGTGCAATGTTGTGCTGCAAGCAATTTTCCGAAACGACGACGGTATTACCGCTTCGGGAAAGCGGCATTATATAGCCGTAAGATTATTCCAGTGTCGGGCAGATTTCCGTGGTCGTTCGATCGCGACCTTTGCTTTATAATTCGTTATACAAGCGTGATAAAACGACCATAGCCTTTCCGCAACTCCCTTCCCGTCGCGATCCACAAGCGCCGCAACCGCTGTCACCATCGCCGCCGCAAATCCACGATGTCGTTAATACGACCAGACTTCAACGCCTGAAAGTTCCCTCAGCGCGCGGCTCATCCTAAGGGATCATCATTTCCACCCTTTATCGAGCGTCGTACAAAAGGCAACTCGTTTTGTCCGATGGAAAACAGATAAAAAGATCCCTCTCCATTCTTTCTTTTCTCTATACATATATAGATATATAGATATACACACATACTATCAGCGATACGTACGAAGTGCTGAGAGAGTCTGCTAAGAGAACTCATGAGGGGAAGGGAAAAAACTTCCGACCGAAAGTTTTCAACGAGAAAGAGACTTCGTTGAACGGTACGTAGGTCTGGGCGAGAGTGATTTCTTTGGTTCGCCGCTCGCCGACAAACTTCACATTTTTGCTGCTGCAGCCGCTTTTGCGCGCGGCAGTTGAGATTCTTGCTTGCGCGGTGTTCAAGTGCACGATTAATATTTTAATGCGGCTCTCCTCACACCAAGCAGAAATTGCTATCCGCTTAAGGGAATTATCCGTGAAACGTTTACCTTATTTAGTTTATTTCGCTTCGCGCATTTTTCTCTTTCGAGTTAAATATCTTGAAATATGCTGAAATAAAGCTTCAAATTAAATTTCTATTGAGTAATGTGCGATTAAATAAAAAATCTAGATAATAAAGAAAATTTAAAGAAGAGTTTCTTCCTCCCACATATATTTATATCTTTAGACTCAATCTAATGATAAATCTTACTGAAAATTGCACTAATCATTGATATTCATAATTCAAATTTTCGCTCTTTAAACAAGCATATTTCATAATACTTTTATAAACGGCTTTGTCTCTCGGCCAAATATAACGGATCCCAAAAAGCTTCGTTCAAAAAGTAATTTCTCAAAAAAAAAGAAGTGTGAAAGATTGACTGTTAGTCCTCTCGCGGACACGTGGGAACAACGTTCAACCGAGAGAAGCATCGTTTGCGTCGCTTTAATTACGTTTGAGAGCAGCATGAGGACCGACTCGACGCGATGCGAAAACGCGGAACGGGATTACGG